GTTTGATGTTGATTCGGTTTCTAATGTTATTTTGTGATTCAAGTTGAAAGGCTCCAGTAAGAAAGTATTTTCTTAGGATTGTCGATTTGCCGTTGCGTTACAGTTTGGATGAGAATCTTCCTTTTATTGACAAAGCATATATGTTAATAAGTACTCTACCCTGACACCTGCGCTATAGTTTAGGTGAGAAATATTGACGAAGCATAGAGGTGCAAAGTGTAAACATTTACAGATATCGATTGTGTCAGTGTTAACAAACTCACAAGCAGTGCAAATTGGAAAGATCTTGGAATGCAGCATTTGGAAGCCTTGAGAAACAGTAAGAACGATTATGATTTGTATTTGATAACAGAGATATGGTAGAATGACATTCTTGGTACAATGATCACTTGGTCCTTCCGTTCCTACATAATTTATTAGAGCATACTTGACCTACTGGTCCTCGACTTAATGCATCTAGCGCTTTTCAACTCGATGCATACTTAATCTATCAATCTCCGATGCTTCATGCCATCCCCGCTTTAATACGACATAAGGTCGTCGACCCGACGAAGCCCTCGGGCCGCGACACCAGGGGAGGTACCCGATTAGAATCGAAAAGCACGAGGTTCCGGTGATCGGCAGGGATGAAAGAACCGATCCGCGACGGGAGCGCCCGCGACTGGTTTTATCGTTCGACGAAGTGCGACGTGCGCGCACGTAGGCGGCGGTATATAAACAATGTGAACTACATTCCAGCAGCATGAGTAACCGTGTCTTGCGCACTCTCGCCACTCTTCTCGTCCTTTTCTCAGCGGCGATGCAGCCAGCGCGTACAAATCTAATTACCTAGCAACCTACCTACCTGGCGGGGGAAACCGAAGGGAGCCCGACCGAGGAAGGACGACGAACGGAGCCTCTTACCTCCCGTCCATGTTTGTCGCTTGGCTTAAAGACGTCGGGGTTGCGAGCTTGATACGCGAAGACCGAACAATTTCCGTTCTGACGCGACGCGGTTCTCATAAGCCTGTCGACACTCCCTGTTGGCAGGCGTTAACGCGAGACATATTCCATATAATATCTTCGTTTATTTGGAGACATACAATCTGAACGGGGA